ATATGATAAACGAAATTACGTAAATAGGGATCTATATCGGGTTACAGTCTCGATGCTTTATCCCTATACATCTTTAATATTTACTTTTATTATATTTCATTAATAAGTAAACACATCACAAGTTTTCAAGTTGCACAGCTCTAATTGTGATTAAGATTATTGTGTCTCAATGAAATAATGAAGAGGTATATGATAACCTTTTGAGGGCATCGTAATGGTGATGTCGTAAGTTGGGAGTGCATATATAGTATATGAATAGTAAAGTGGTGGGTGTCCTCATAGGGTGAAGCGACATCCCACTATGTGCAAGTTTAAATTTTTCGTGTACAAGCAATCCTTGAAACACGTTGCTCTTCGTATGATACTTTGAAATGTGTGAACTTTATACGAGAAACTTCATACACCTACTTAAAATATAAAAAAAATAAAATCTCGAGATTAAAACTACACATACACATATTATCATAGGAAGTTTGGAGCAATAAAGAAATAAATCTTTCACACTTAAGAGTGTTTGGTTGTATTTTTTATGTACACATAAATTCTGCTGAAAGAAGTAAAATTGATGCTAAGTCCAACAAATGTGTATTTGTTGGTTATGGTGGTGATGAGTTCGGTTACCGATTTTGGAACTACGAAAATCGAAAGATCATCAGAAGCAGAGATGTCATTTTCAATAAAAATGTGATGTATAAAGACAGGTCAACCATAGAATCAAGTAGCTTTAACACCAAAGCTGAAACAAAGGAATTTGTTGAATTCGATGAGATTTCTGGAAATGATGTTCAGATCAGTCCTGAAGGAGTTCAAGAAGAACCAGGCACACCTGAACTAAGACGCTCCTCCAGTATTCCTAAATCAACCCATTGTTATTCGCCTTCTTTGCACTACTTGTTGTTGACTGACAATGGTGAACCAGAGTGCTATGATGAAGCAAGTGCAAGAGGAGTTGTCCATGTCCAAGGAGTTTGCTGAGCATGTTCGTGTAGAGAACATGGCTTCAGAGACCATCGTAAGAGAAGGGTCGAAGCAGGGGCTACCGAGGATGTTCAAGTGATGAACAATCCTTCAAAGAATAGTGAACAAGAGTCGAATGGAGCCAAGACGTTGAGGGACAAGACAACCACGGAGAAACTGTCCAATAACAAGTCGGTTTACAAGATAGTGACTACAGACAAACTGAAGTTGTGTTCAGCTTCAGTTGGCATGCTAGAATAATAAGACCAGAAATGCTGATGCATTGATCAATGTGTGAAGACAGATTAAAATCAGTCTTTAAGTGGGAGATTGTTAAAAGTCAGACTGATTTTCGATGCTTTAAATGCATCGAATATGCACCGGGAAAAAATTAAAAAAAGGGTTGCTAATGCTGAAAAATGGTAAAGGGAAATTGAAATTTAGTCCATGCACTTTAGGATATTTATAAGATTAGTCCTTAAGCTTCAACTATAAATACCTTAGCAAATTTAGCTTCAAAATCATCCCAAATCATTTCTTTCTCCCAATACTAGAGAGCTTTATTGTGAGTGTTTTGTAAACACCTGTAAATTTTCTCTCTTTAGTAAAAGATCTGCATTAGTCCGGAGACGTATGCAAAATTGGCTGAACTCCGATATCAATTTCGGGTATTATTTTTCAGTTTTTATTTCGCATTCTCACTAATATTGTTATAGGGAAATTACTCGTTCTTGCTTTATTTCCCAACACTTTAAATATAAAAAATAAAATCTCGAGATTAAAACTACACATACACACTATAATACTAATTATTGTAGAGAGTTTTGACCAATTATCTCACATGTAAAATTTCAACAAAAAAAATCGAAAAATATTCCTCAACATAATAAAAAAGCCAAATGTCCCAGGAAAATTAATTTGAGGTCACTAATCAAACACATCTCATCAAAGGCATCCACTTCATAGAAAGGGTCACAATTCCAATTTGCTTTGCCATATTTCCCCAACTTCTAAGCAAACTTGTCTTCATCAACCATTGATGTCTGCATTTAAGCATTCCTCTCAGTTCAGTTGCTTCGTATGTGGGTAGGCGGCGGTTTTTGATCAATTTGTCTATTTCTCCTTTCCATTTGCTGCCAATACTCATTCCTCACGTTAAATCGCTTCACCTTTAAAACATTATTTTCATTCATTAAATGTCAAATGCATATATGATTCCTTATTATTTTTGGGGATATTTTTCATTTTACGTACACAATAAAACGTTTATGAATGCCGGCAACCATGTGGGTGAGGCGTTGCATGATGCAAGCACTATCGTAAGTGGTCATGTTATTAACTTTTAAAAATAATTTTCATTTATATTATCTTCGTTTATTATCAGACTAATTTTATAAAAAAAATCTATTTTTTATGCCATTGCATGTCAACATTGGTTTTTAAGGATATACCCTCCCAGAATAGGCATTATGTACACTCCCTTATTCATCATCACTTTATTTCACCTGAAATATCATCTCTCTTTTCCCTGCGTCCCCTTCCCAGGTCCATTATAAACTAACTGATTTCTTTGTTCTCTTTTTCAGTATAAAGGATGTAACATCATTATACAGAAAAAATGGCGTCGTGATCCATATTCGAAAACAAATTATAAATATCAGAAGATTTAAATCTTAAATTTATTAAATTTTACTTTTAAATTATGACTACTTGAATCAATTTCATGTTTAATTTAAACCATGATGACCGGGACAGAACACGATAATCATATGTATGAAGTTGCTGATTGCATGTTTGAGCATTGGTCCTAGGATATAAAAACAAAACAACTCCATTACTTTTGAGCTTTGGGCCAACCAGTTCCAATGAACATAAGCAGGAAGCAAAGGACAGTTATCCTAACTCATACAGATAGAGCAGCTATCCCATACCCCATTTTTTATAGCTTTGTAGTGGCTAGTGACAATGAAATAACTTTGTATTGGGATATATGGACCCTCCAACTGTTTCGACACTAGTAATAAAGTGTAGAGAAAAGCTTGAAGTCTCCCACAATTATTAAGTTTCATGGATAGATAAACAATAATTCACGACCAAAATTCTATCCCCGTACATCGCATTCGACAATTCAACATGTAATGTAATGTAAGATTATTTTTTAAAATAAAATTTCTAAGATATAATATTATATGATAAATCATTAGAATGTACCATTATTTTGTTAAGTTAAAATTGTTCTGATGATATATTTTCTTTTTAGAAAATTAAAATTTTAATATTAATTTGTCTTGTGGTTAAGAGACTTTTCTTCTCCCTTAGTGGCCCAAGTTTGAAAAGCGTAATCTACTTAGGTGTGTGAGTTTAGATCCAGGTCTATCAACAATTAAAAAATATTATTAATATACTAAATTATTAAATAGTTTTAAAAATAAATTTTATATCTAAATATTTAGTTATCTATTTAAAAAATACAATAAAAAGATATATAAACAAAATATATTATTTTAATGATATTATAATATAAAATTATCTAATTATACAATATCTAAATTATATATGAATGTATTTCTTACTATTTGGGAATAACATTTACACTATTTGGAAATAACATTTATTATTTTTATACAAATTAAAACTGTCAATTTTATTAAAATCTAATTATAGAATACCATTTTTAAGAATAACAAATTATAAAATATCTAAATTATCTAATTATACAATATCTAAATTATATATACAATATCTAATTATATACATATGGGAATAGCATTTATACTACTAGGAAAGAAAAATCTTACTAATGATAAACGATTATTACTCCAAAGAAAATATTTCTAAGTTAAATGAATTATTTTTTTATACAAGTAGAAGTTTTCAATTTTATTAAAAAAAAGATAAAATATTTAAAATTATAATAATGATTACAATTAAATGTATACTAAACACATTATTAAGACATTTTTATAACTATTGATATAAAAAGTAGTCAATTGCGATCATATATGAACCATACAAGAAAAATGTTAAAAACTCATCTAAAAAAATGAACAAAATATAAATATGAACAAATCTGATTGCATTGCCACGAAACACATCAAGGGATCAAACTATACTTAAAGACCACAAACAATCGCAAATCAAAATCAAGTGTCGTGTGAAAACTATCTTTGAACCACGTATCCAAATCCAATTTGATTGTCAAAAAATGAAAAATCAACATGATTAAAAATAAACATCATCTTAATAAGCCAAGATGACATCAAATCCAATCATGAAAAAAATAAAAGAAAGACAACAGTCAAAACAATAGATAAAGAAGATTGAAACTATCCCAAAAGATAGAGAAAAATATGTCATAAAAACAAATGATTGTATTATAAAAATAGAATTATTAAAATAAAAAAATAAAAATAATAATAAATATCATCTATATACTACCAACATAAACCAACAAAGATATAAAAAGAAGACCAACGGAGTAGTGAAAAAAAAAGAGAACTAGGAAAATTGGCAGGAAAGCTGTACTTAAGAATATAATGTCTTAATCTTTTAAATATATATTATTACCGTTCTATAAACGAAATGTGTAAAAGATAACCTCTCTTTTCATGACGGGAAATCTAAATTATTAACATTTTCAAGTTGTTCTGACACTCGAAGGACTAATGAAGTTGACATGAAAATCATCAACTGTCCAAGTTGAGAGCTTTTACGATTTGCATGATCAAATCAGATGAAACTTGAAGAAGAGAAATTCTAACAAAAAGGGTTATAGTACTTAACAACTTGCAGGACTTCAGAGAGAACAAAAAAAAAAGCATTAAAAAATGTCCAATCTGTCGTTTTTCCTTGAATGATTTAGCATTTAACCGTGCTGTATTCTTATTTGCTCATTGTTTCTAAAAATTTCAACTTGGTTGTCTTTTGTCAAACCAGACCAGCCACTAGAGATGTTAAACCAAATTGACTTGTATTGTCGGCTGTCTATGGAAATATAAACAATCCAGGCATTTTTCTGGTACAGGGTAGATATTTAATGGTAATAAACAAATGGTATAAAGAAATATATCATTTACTGTAGATTTCAAGTATTCACACGGAAACAGAGAATTACAGAGGAAATACTAACTTTTCCTATAATTTTATGTACTGTTTAATGAACGCACAGTGAGACAATAAGCAGAAACCAGGTGAGCTTCGATGGTCAAAAGCTACAAGCTGTGTTTCTCAAAATCTTTTCACCTTAAAATATAACCAAAAGCGTGTTGTAAAAGTGTGGGACTAATCCCAAAAACAGAGGAAGAGATTCCGGGGACAATCCTATGCAAAGCATCCCTCTGGTAAATCTCTCCTTTTCAAGCATCGAAAATGGCTGATGGAATTAGGCCTGTTTTTCCAAGTCCTTTGAGCTCACGAATGTTCCATGAAAGCCGTATGGAACTCGAGACGGAAGTTGAACCGTCGCTTCTAGCTTTAAATCCATGGCGTTCACTATCTGCAGTTCTGATTTCCAGGTCTTTTCGTCGTGGACGAAAGCCAAAATATAGCCGTCGTCTTCATCCGGCGAATCGGGATTTCGAGGAAAGAACAAAGGCTCGCCACCATACCTTTGCTCTCCGTAGATATACTTGTTAACCTCGCCGGTGGAGAGGTCGACTTTGGCGAATCCTGACACTTTAGGCCAAGGCTCGGCTAGAGCTAAATATGCATACCGGGTTTTTCTTCCGAGTAAGTTCTTGTTTACCATCCCTGCCTCCAAGTTAACTTGCTCGGATTCCGAGATGATGGCACGGCGAGTAGATTTTCCGGTCTTCAAATTCAATCGAATTTCGGACAGAACACTCTTGAGATTCTCTTCACATTCGTTGAAAATGGAATCCGGAGGCGTCATGCAAGAACCGATCACAACAACTTCATCGGTCTCCGGCTCTTCCCATGCATTCCAAAGATGGAAACAGAAGCAATCAGGTGCCTCAATCCATTTAATCCCGGACGCATCAATGGCATTCTTGTCTAATACACCAAACCTTGACACCTTGTTCTTGTCATACACAACTGGTGAACCACCATGAACCATTTCACCCAATTTGAAAACTACTTGCTGGTCCGGGATCACCACAAAATTCTCGGTGATTGCGAAATCGTGCATCATTGTTGGACCATCAACCGGGATTTCGACATCGGGTGATTTCTTACCATCGGGTGCGAATTTGAAGTACTTAAGATATGGCTTTTGGATAACATCATAGCTGAGAGCAAAGAATTCACCCGTTTGTGGATCAACTTTGGGGTGAGCAATCATTGTAGACTTTAATTGTTCATCAAAATCATATCTGCCAACGGTTTTCAAGTCACCGGACTGTGTGATACGAACATGGTAAGGCAAATCATCTTCCGACATGGCGAGAAGGTGACCGTTGAAGTAAACTAGTCCAGCATTCGCAACACCGGTACCATGGCTCGGATCGACGAGTCCGAATAAGCCTCGAGCGTAGAAAAGTAACAGCCTAGCTATGCCTGAGTGTCCATGGAGTTCACCTATGGCCTTGGGGAAAACCGGACGCCCAAAAGATCGTTCTTGAACAAGACGGTTCGTTTCAGTGAACCTACAAGCGTAGCTAGCTGAGCCATTTTTGAACTGAACCGCATGAACCATCCCATCCCCATCGAAGAAATGGTGTCCGGCCACCGGCTCATGAAGTGGGTTCGCCCCGTTTCGAGCGTAGACACCCTGTATACATTCCGGGATTGTGCCGATAACAGCGAGTCTCTGCTTGACTGGCTGCTCAGAGACAGGCCCAAAGTTCCCGGCGATTTGAACTCTGGGGTCAGCTGTTTTCGGCAAAGGATGCCGACGCTCGTGAGAGACTAAAGCATTCTCTACTGCATCTAAAGCCATAGCCGCCGTTCTCTGCAAGGGATTCCATTGCTGTGATTGAGCTTTCTCATCGTCAGAAGAAACATGCTTCGTGGAAGGACTGGAAGAAGGCGATGGAGGGAAAACAGGTGATTGTTTTTTAGGAAAATGAAGAATGGAAGGAGTCTGAAGAGAACACGAAATGTAGGGTTTTCTGTCATTCCCCCTCTTGAAAGCTATAGAGGAAGAAGCTGATTTTGAACTTGAAACAGGGAGTTTAGCCTTAAGACAACAGCTGCCACTAGCAACTGATGATGCTGATGAAGAAGCCATAGGGCCAGCTACTATGTTCTGGAATGAATAAGTGAAACTTGATTGGCTTTCAGAAAGAATAACAAATAAGAAAACCAGGGATTATACTTTATATGAGAAATGTGTGCTTTTTGTTTGCTTAGGTAATGTTTGGTTGAAGAGAAAATGCGGGGGAGGAATGGAGTGAGTGTTGGGGAGAGAGAAGAAGGTATATATAGAGAATGGAAAGAGGGGAAGAGGTCCACTAGAGACATGTAAGAGGACACCACGTGTTGCATTTGAGTAGTAAATATGGGGCCCACTCCAGGCAGAGCTTTTAAAGTTAATTAGAAGACCAGTGTGAGGGGTTTGCCGGACATATTTGCTTAATCCTTTGACACGATCACCTCCTCCACCTTTATAAAGGTATAAAAAAAAGGAAAAATGCTTATTGGTTGGTATCATATATAGAATGGTTTTGTTTATAGAGGTAGAGCATTATTGTTTATAGGGAAAGAGAGTAGTTCCTTTATAAAGGTATTTATTATTTATCTATAAGAATTTAAGGTTATGATGTCTAAAATTTATAGACTATTAATTATTTTTTAAATAATTTGAGATAACTATGAGATAATATCTATTTAAAATAAATTTAATTTATCAATAACATACACATCGTATAGATATAATTATTCGAACTTAAATCTTTTAGATCAAATTTTAATGGTAATAAAATTAAGAGTTTTAATTAAATTTTTTGAAATTTTATATTTATATTTCTGAAATTTAATTTGTCAAGTTTTTGTCTCATGTTGACTAAGCACATATCTTTATGATATAAGCTTGACCACATGTTAAATTATATAAAATGATAAAATTATTCATAAAAATTATTGATATATTTATTTTGATAAATGCAGAAAATGAGATAAATAAGAGTAAAAAAATATAAGTGTTATTATTTATTAAATTTTTATAAAAAAAAATCAATTGAATAGTTTTTAAAATTAAATTAAACATTTTTAATATTTAATGAGATGGTTAAGTATTTTGTTTGTAACATTAATAGCAGCTATTGGTGTTCGAAAGAAAATAAAAAGAGTAATGGAATATTGGAGCAGGGCACTATAGATAGGGAGGGTAGACCACGTCTAACCCCGCGTTGCGTCCTCAAACGAGAGTGGTTTAGGGAAACACGTGGCGTTTGCTGCTTTTCAACCTCCAAATCTAAGTCACATCATTTGTCCCACACGCTTCCACTCTTGCTCTCCATCTCCTTCTCCAACAAACATAATATAAAAAAAATTAGTTTTAAATATATTTAAAATCATTAAATGAATGAAAATAGAAGATTGAGATTAAAATTATAAAATAATAAAATATTAACTGAAAAAAATGAGTCAATTATAGTAATCTATTTTCATCTTTTTAATGGTCCTAAATATATATAAAACTAAAGAATTTTATATTGTATAACTGGATCTTAACGCTATATATATCATTTTATTTATATTTACAGTTTTATTTGCAACTAATATGATTTTAGCAAGATTTAAACTTTTGAAAATTTAGTTTTATACTAAAAATATAATCATAAAATCAAACACATTTTTTAACAATTAATTATTTTATATTAAATAAATATTAAATTATTTCATCATTTTGACCCAATCCAATTCATATTAACACTATGCTTATAATGTTTGTTAGTTAGTGATCGAAAATATCAAAGTCCGTTGATATAAAGTGATGACTCAATTTGAATTGTTTATAAAGAGCATGGCATGTGTTACATCTAATACTAATTAAAATAGGCATTCAATAATTAATGATTACTCTTTAACAATTTAAACATAAAAGTCATAACCCACATACATTTATCATCCATATACGTAAAAAGACAGATATTTCTAATGCAATTCGTCTTTTATTTGTAAATGTAAATTTGTATTTAATTATATAAATGTAAATATTCATTATAATTTTTTAAATAAATATGATCTTATATTTATATATAAAAAATTACACTAGACAGCAAGGACTATACATAACACATTTTATCTGTAATATTTCCTTTTTAACACTTGTTGACCAATATTTCTTAAAGTAGCACCCTTTCGGCTGACATGGCGTAAAGGTACATCTCCAGGGACGCGCTTTCACGGGATTCTGATGACTCGGATGCCATGTGTGGAAGGCGCATCCCTGGGGACGTGCCTTCCATTTGGGTTTTGCTTAGTCAAATGCCACGCTGATATTTCTTTTAATAATAAAGATTTTATTTTTATTATTATTATAAATAATTAATATGTTATGTAAAGTGTTTCGATTATAATTTAAGAATTATCGAATGTATTTTTTAAATGTATGAAATTATAATATTACACGTATTGTTATATATCTATTATTTTTTTATTATCTATCTATTAATTTTATCAATTAATTATTTAAATGTTATCAATCTAGTCATTTGTTATTAATATTTAAAGAAAATATTGATGCATAAGTTAATAAAATTAGTATAATTACACATTTAATCTTCAATAGTTACATATTTTATCAATTTAGTCTTATTTTTAATTTGTTGGATAATTTGAGTTATATAAGAGAGGAAAATATGATTTTGGTGTGAAGAATGAGGGAGGGTTGATGGGTTTATATAGGGGAGGAGGAGGGGTAGTTGGGGGAAAACGGATGGAGGCGTTTATGACATTTAATGGAAGGGGTGTCCCCGGGGATGCGCCTTCCACATGTGGCATCCGAATCATCAGAATCCCGTGAAAGCGCGTCCCGTGAATGCGCCTTTGCGTCACGTCAGACAAAGGATGCTACTTCGAGAAATATTGATCAACATATGTTAAAAAAAAAATATTACAGGAGAACATATTTCTATAAATATCATACAATATTAGACCTACGTAAGACAACATAAAGTATTAAAGTTGTGTCAGCTCATAAAAATATTATGGAAATATTTTTACCCAAAACCCTATAATATTTTATTCACTGCCCAAGTTATTTATAGTAGTCACTTAATCCAACAGCAGACAGGTGATAGTAAGGTAACCTGTTTGACGGCATTATCCTTGTATTTTTATTTATTGTTGTTACTTAATTTCATGGTTGAAATTATCAGGCTCTAAAAGATTTAGATTTGAACTGTGAACGGATATTATTAAAACGGACTATTAAAAATCTTGAATATAACCTATAAAATGCATCAATACTAAAAAGTATTAAATAATTCATGTTGGACAAGATTTAAATATAGATTAGAAATCGAATTTAATAAACAACATTCAATAGACTCAAGACCTCTCAATGAAGGTCTTAAGCCTCCAAAATTTTTAACACTAATTAGTAGCATATCTTCTGGGAAAAGATTTTGTTTCCTTCAAAGCAAATAATTGTTTTGCTTAATTATTGATGAGAATTAAAAAAAGACTTGATTCCCTATTCCAATTTAGTTTCCACCATGAACATTTTTAACATAAAACATCAAATAATAGGCTAACATGTAACAACCATATCTCCATTCATCTTCTTCCAATTTATTTAATAGAAGCATATGATTTTGCAGTGGGAGATTGTCTCTTCCCCTAATGTCATGCATGACCTTAAACCGCTCAAAAGTTTTAATATTATATTCTTTCACTTTATGATAATATTATTAAACTTAATTAAACGCCAACGGTTGGTTAATTTGTCGGAAGATGACATCTTAATTTATAATAAAATACAACACTCTCAAACCCTTCAACGTGTCCATCAATAGGTGGTCTCGTGCCCACAATGATTAGATCTAGAATTTTTTTTTATATGTATTCTTGTATAATAGAGATTTCATGAGTTTAGATAGTTAAGCAACTAAATCATGTTAATTACTACCTAAAACCATGTTATTCAACCTACCTACATGGAATTATTATAGATAGCATATACACGTGCACATCTGTCATTTTTGTGTTTATTGTAAAGCACTCGCATGTTTGATTTTTGGCAAATAGAAACAACAATGATGTTTTGTATTTGCATTATTGATTGCATTAATGAATTAATTTGGATTCAAATCTATATAAATACAATAGTTTTCACATTAATATATTTTTTCTTGTTTTACTCATGTTTTTTTATCAAAAAAATATGTTTTCATATTTTCATTTTTGAAAATAATTTTCCTTTCCATTTACCATACACGTGTTTACAATTTGTGAAAGAGTGAAATGAATATTATTGTTAAAAATATTTTTTATTAATATGTGGTAAGTGCAATATAATATATATTCAAAGATAATTATTAAACCTTTGACGTTAATCACTCAAACCTTTGGAATTCCTTATGTTTGAACCTGGCTTTAATGAATATCAACAATTCCTTTACCACCAAAATAGCTTAGATAAAATATAAAATGACTAAAAAGGGACAAAATCAGTATCGCAAATGTAATAGTTAGAGATGCACATGTAAGGGCATGAAAATGGTAAGCGAGTCTCGTGGTAATAAGAGAAGGAAATGCATACCATTAGGGGTGTTCAAATAACCGAACTAATTCGGTTAACCGACCGAACCGAATTAGTTTGGTTAATTCGGTTCGGTTACCGAATTAGTTCGGTCGGTTAACGGTTAAAAAAATTTAGAATTCAGTTAACGGTTAATTCGGTTCGAATTCGGTTAATTAACCGAATTAACCGAAATTAAATTTTAAATTTTAAATATATTATATATAACATATGGACTCAGCCCAAACCATTTAAAACACAATTAATAATTTAAGATCCAATAACTTTTAAACCTAAATCAATATTAATTAATTAAAAAAATTATATAAATTTTTTATTTTATAATTATATATTATTTAAATTAATTGTAAACTGTTTTTTTAATTAAAACATATTAAATATATTATATATAACATTTGGGCTAAGCCCAAACAATTTAAAACTCAATTAATAATTTAAGATCCAATAACTTTTAAATCTAAATCAATATTAATTAATTAAAAAATTTATCTGAAATTTTTATTTTATAATTATATATTATTTAAATTAATTATACACTTTTTTGAATTAAAAATATTTAATTTTTATATAAATTAGAAAATTTTAAAAAAAATTCGGTTAATTCGAAAATTAACCGAATTAACCGAAATTAATTCGGTTCGGTTAATATGTTTGAAAAAAAGTTCGGTTCGATTAACGGTTAAAGGAAAA